ATTACTTGGTAGATTCAAGGACATAACATTTTTAAATTAAAAAAAAAAAAAAGAAAAATCTAACAGTAATGGTTCACACTGCACCTGCCCTTCATAGTCCTGAAAACTTTTCCAGCTACACATTTCCTATTTTCTGGATAAGTCTGTGTGTCACCAGTCTCCAAAGAACATGTTTTGAATTTATTAAAAGCCTGATAGCAGTAGAATTCTCTCATTTGGCAAACATACCATCACAGGGACACTTGCTTTTGGCTCCATGACAAGAAATTCATGGTACTTTGTCCAATCCACAAAAACACCATCCCTCCCCTCCCAAGCAGCCTTTCAAGATAATTCTCTCTCCTCCAGAGACTTCTCTAAACAAGTCTGCATGTCTGAACTCTTGGGTTTCATTTCATAAACAGGACACAACACCCGAGTGTAATTCAGGACACTGTCACTGCCCCATGGGCTCAGCACTAATCACAACAGCTTTCTGCAATATTCCCTAGGCCCCTTCTTTCCAGAGACAAGGCCTGACTTTTAGACTGGGCATCTTTTGAAGCAGGCACAAAATATCAACAAGAATCCGAGCGCCAGATCCCAGCCAAAGGGTATCCATTAGTCATGGCAAGGCTAGGAAGGAAGGGAAGGGCAGCTGGCCCCAAAACGTGGTGTCTGTGCTGCTGCAGTTACCACATCTCTCTGAAAGGATTGCCCAATCCTTGAAAAGGACACAGACATCCTTCAGATAATGGTTTAACTCGCACTGGTTTGTTTTTTTAACAGCGCCTCTAAACATAAGCTCCTCTTCTAAAAGCACTCTCCCTCCTCAAAGTTTCCAGCCTATTCTGGATGAAATATTTGGTGAGGGCTCCACTGACACAGCCACAGGAGACCTCACAGTGGTAAAAGTAAGCAACCTCCCAAGAATGTGTGGGTGCACCAGTTTAACAGATGAAGAACAAACACGGGAATGAACAAACATCAAATTCTCACATGTATTCAGCTCCCTGAACACCTCCAAAGACACAGATTTTAATTCACTTCTCCAAATCACGGAGCAGAGATCTGAATCCAGATTCCTGGATTCTAGAGCACCTCCCTAGCTTTATTGTTTTATTACAAGCTTCCCTCACTACAATTCAACAAGGGACCAGACTCTACTACTGTTCATCCCAGTGGACTCTGACAAAGTCCAGGGAATTCTCTGGAATTTAATCAGTGCCATGGAGCCATCTCCAGCCCTAATTATCAGCTACTCAAAACAGGTTACAAATAAATTTTAAGGACTCCAATCACTGCTTAACACAAAGAGCCAGCTACTTAAACGTGCACAAGCCAAGGAACTCATAAATGAAAGAAAACAATTTGTCAAGTATCTTCCTGTTGAAAATAGGCTGTGAACTAAAAGAGATCCCCCTCTCTCACAGAGATACAAATATTAGTCATGTGCTTTTTATCAACGACTAGCATTTGCTTTTCACTTTGCAATCCATTACTACCATAAACAGAATGAATTTCTTCCATATAAAACTGAGAAACTCGTGATCCTGAGATCTGTTGGAAGGAGATAACTTAGAAAAGTGAAGTATATGAAACATCTGTTCCACCCTTTCCCATGTCATGATGGCAAGCAGCTGAAGACTGATTGGACAAGTATTTTCACAAGAAAATAATTTGGGTCAAATTCATAGATGAGATGAAGTCTCTACCAGATAGTACATTACTTTCCCAACATGTCTAGAGTATAATAAGATGACAAAAAATAATCTGCATAAATATTCAACTTATTCCAATGTTTTTTGGTCATTTTGGGAGGTGGCTCCTCCAGCACAATGCTGGACACCCTCTATCTCAACAATGTCAGCCTGACATTATTCCCTACATTTCCAAATCCTCCTTCACAGGTCTAATCTCTCTTTTGTTAGAATTCATCTTAAATTCCAGTACACACTAGCTCATTTTGCAGTGAGTGAGTTGCCTATGACTGGAAATGGCCCTGAAGCAGAACTCTGGGTCTAAACACACATGACCTTTGAGAAATTTGTGTGTGGATTCCACCCAGTTTAACAGCTCAGCCCTATTCTTATCTGCAATGTAATCCCTCACAAGACTCCAGAAACACACTCAGATTGCAGACGTGCATCTCTGGTAAGAACTCCCCATCCATAACACAGTAGCCTGTAACCAAACCAGAGAGGAGTTGAGATTTTATTAAGATAGCTGTACCCAAAGTACCATATAAAGGAAGGGTTACCAGAGGTCCTGCATGGGGGAGGGAGGGCAGTGAGTCACACTCAGCACCAGCAGAAGCGCTGAGCCTCTGAAAAGCACTGCTGAAAGTCTGTCACAGCTCTTCCTCTCCACCACACCACTCAGACAACTGAGTATTCAAGTGGCAAAACCAACACTTGTTGTTGCAGCCTTGGGGGGCAAAGCTGAGAAGTTCTAGCTTTAAATTTTTTAGCTAACATTTAAATTAAATGTTAATCTAATCATTTAAATTAACATTTTAAATTTTAATTTTTTGAATAACATTTTTTTAATGCAGAATAGTCAGCTGCCTGGATCATTCACAACAAGTCAATGGTCATTCATCAGCCCAAAGCAGAAACAATAAAGCATAACTACATTAAATATGGAGCATTATAGGCAACAGCTGTCCAAGAACAACAGGAATCAAAAATTTGGAACTCATCCTTTGCAACTGATGAGTGGATGTTGTTTAGTGAGATACAGAGCAATTTCAAATCCAGAAGGTAAAAAATTCTAGATGTTTGAACCTCCACCTAAGAGGTAAGAAACACTTCTTGTTTATTACAGGTCCACTGGAAAAAAAAATTGGCAACAAGGCAGTTCAGGCCAGCAGAATGAAAGGTGAAAGACGTTGGATTTCATACTTAGAAACACACATCAAGAACTGCTTTTCAAATACATCAAACTCTGATCTCACACACTACTTAACTTTGTGCACAGTGACCTCACTGAAGGCAAAAAGACTTTACATAATTTCTAAATGTCAAATACATAGAAAATGTTTTAGAGAGCCCCTTAAAAATTTAAAGAAGCAAGGTCTTTGCTATAAAAGTGCCTTCAGAATTGCATTTATTTTGGTAAAATCCCCATCACCAAAACAAATTTTAAAAAAATAAATCTTTCTTTTATCAGGGCCAAGTTCTGTATGATTCACAGTGACTAACACTGTGTCTTGCTTGTGAATAGACTCCTTTGTGCTCAAAGGCAGAAAGGGTGGTAAGAGGTAATAATCTCATACATGATAAATTCACACTTCCCCTGTATTATGAGTACATGCAGGACAAATTACTTGACTTCACCAGCCTACAAGAAAATTCTCAGAAAACAGGTGTACATGGGGTAAAGCAGGGAAAGGGAAAAAAAAAAAACAAACAAACAAGGTTTGATTCTAGCAAAATGCTTCTTGTCCTTATTTTCCTGTCTTTTTCTTCCTTCTTTGATATCCTACAAGAAAATCCACTAGAGCCCAAACAATGGGCTTGATTTTGGGGAGCACATTAAAGACAGCAATGAAAGATTTACAAGGAGCTATTTTACTCAAAATAGAAGACTCTGAACCAAACTGTGAGGGAAGACTTTACCCAGAGAGTCTTTTTCCAACATTCCATTCTCCCTTTCAACATTCATCAATACAATCAAAAGATTTTGAGTAATCACATTGTCCTTGCTAAGGAAATGAACTTGTCAGTCTAAATTCAGGCATCTTAACTTCTGAGTATAATCCTCTGCAACTCTTTTTTTTTATTTTCTCCAGAGATTCTCTGCTTCACCTGCAGGAAATTGCAGCCAAGGATACAAAGCCAAAGCCAGGCAGGACCATGGAGCTGTCAGGATCACTGTGCCCTTCCTCTTCAGAGCCTCTCCCACCTTATGCCCCGAGTAAAGGGTGCTAATTCTAAAAGTTTTGAGTACTTTCACAAGATGCAGACCCTGGAATATCATCTGGGAGCCAGGAATTTATCCTCTTGAAGGTAGAGTTGGGTCAGGTGACAAGACTGTTTAGATTGCAAGATCTGTGGGGTGGGAGCTGTTCTTCTGTTACATAATTCAGAGTTAGACAGCAAAATCTGACTGAAAGTCCAAAGGAAGAAGATGTAAGATGCCATTTATCAATTATCATCTGGCAAGTCCTTGCACAACTCCTCTTTTTGCATTTTTAAGTCAATCATAGCACTTCCCTGCTGTATAATGCAAGGAATATATAATGTATAATGCTCTAACAATAGCTGTCCATCAGGAAAACTAACTAGGGAGAAATAGAGCACTCAAATAAAAACAACTGTATCTGATAAGAAGGTATCTTCATTTCCAAAGAGACTAAAACTATCCCGTGGCCAGTTTTCATCTGAGACTACTCAGATTTTGCACAGATTCTACTCCACAGGTTGCAATGGAAACAACTGTGAACTGCACTGAACCGGGCATGATTTTAAATAAATAATACTGGCCCTCACTTCTCACAAGGATCTGCAAATGACCCTCTGTTGGTCACTTTAATCCAGATTTTTAAGGGGTTCTCTCAGAGGACTTTGTTCAACTACTCAGCAAGGATTCCAGGGTACTTTTGTGGAGCAGCACAGCTGCCATGTTTTACAGTGAAGTGACCATTTAAAATTAGATTTTACCAGAGCCCTCCCACATGGCAAAGAAGTGTGCATTTCCAACTCTCAAAAAAGTCAATAAATTTGTCAACAAAATAGATTTCAAAGAATTATTGGAAGTGTATTTCACAGGAACTCCAGCAATCATATTTATGTTCCAAAATGACATTTTGAAGCAACACACTGTATCTGTGAATTCCACTGCTCCCAGGAACAACTGTGCTCAGGAATGCACAATGGAGGCAGGAGATAGGTTCAAGATGTTTTGGGGCTGGCTGAATTACAGACAGATGTACATAACAGCAGGTCCAGTCAAAATGAATTAGAGCAGAAATGTACATAAGAAAATAGACAAAAATCATATTGTTATAATTAACATACCTTGCAGTGACACCTGTGGCTTTCCAAGATAAGAAATCCGGAAGATCAAAGAAGTAGCCAACCTTCTCCCACGATTCTGGCAAGTTCTAATAAAAATATGTTTAGAAAGGCAGATATTAGAGGTCAGGCATGGTCATGCCCTTATTTTAATGCAATTAAAATCCTGATATTTAGGTAAAAATGACAATTTTTTCAAACTCATTGCTCTGATCATCCAGCCAGTTCTACTCTCAGATTTACTGCCTGGAGAGCTGAGCCCTTCCCCCAGCACAGACTGATCACAGGCAAAGTTCCCCCTGAAGACTTCATGGAGGCACAAGTTTCAGATCAATAACCTGGGGTGTCTCTGTTCCCCATCAGCTGCTTCACGTCAGAGCAGTTTCAAAGTCAACAACTTTATCAAAAAACATTTGCCTGAAAAATGTTCTATTTTCTAATAAAAGCCATTTAAGATTTAAAAATGCTTAAAATCTAAGATTTAAAATTTAGTACTTGTTAATTATAAGCATAGGAAGAAAAAAGCTCTGTGAACATACAAACAAAGCCTGCAGATCTGAAAAGCCATATGACATTCCCAAACTCCTAAAAAACTCTTCCACCAAGATAGACCATTTACAATGAGTTTCCACCACTGTTTTCTGAGAGAGATGATGGTCCAGAAAAAGCTGGTCACACCTGGGCCAGGCTCTATTCCCTGTTTCCACCTCCAAAGCTCAGTCTGATTTCATGTGATGTTAGTACTGCATAGTCTCAAAACCACTTTTCCACAAACACAATCCCCACACCACCCACAGGTATCAGACCATGATGAATGGGAAGAAAGTTTTCCCAGAAGTAATGTTGTATTCCAGTGTGACAGACAGTGAGCATCACTGTCCTGCAAAGCAATCCCAATGGTCCCCTCTGATCCCAGCACATTAAAATAAGTAGGGAATATAAAAACTAAACAAAAGCCCACAAGGGTCACAAATTAAACTTCCATGGGAAGATAAGATTGCTTGAAAAACCTCCACCAGCTTCTTAAATAATCAAAAAGTGCAAAGTTTTGTCACTTAATATCAGCTCCTACTTTAGAAACACAGTCCTATCTGGGGTCTTTCTGGAACAGAAATTAATTCCATGCAGTGTCAAGAATGTACAGGCTGAACTAAAGGAGATGATGATTCCATTTTAGAGAAATAATATTTGGCTCTTCAAATTCTTCCCTGTGAGGGTGGTAAGGCCCTGGCACAAGTTACCCAGAGAAGCTGTGGCTGCCCCTGGATCCCTGGAAGTGCCCAAGGCCAGGTTGGACAGGGCTTGGAGCAACCTGGGATAGTGGAAGGTGTCCCTGCCATGGCAGGGGGTTGGAATAAGATGAGCTTTAAGGTCCCTTCCAACCCAAATCATCCTGTGATTCTGTGATTCTATAACCTAATTTACACACTGTGATATTGAAGCAAAATCTTCCAAGTTGACAAAGTTGCTGAAATGGAATCAATGAATTCAAGAAACTAAGGTGCCACTGGGTAAGTACAAAAAAAGCAAAATTTGCTTAGCTTTGGGTTGTGCCAAGAATCTGTCTTAAAACTTCTTGAGTTTAGACCTTGAAAAGGTTCTAAAACTTACTGGGTTTCTATTGAATTAAAAAAAGAAATGCTGCGATTACACCTTTTTAACATAAAACACACAACCTTTGGATGTCTGCTCCTGACCACTCAGATTTAGCTCACCTCCCAGACATTCTACTCATGAACTTCCTTCAAATGCCAAGGTGCTCTATAGTTTAGCCCAAAGATCATTCAGCCTGATTATTTTGATAATAAAAGCCATTATGTGTTGCTAACACACCTGAGAGCCTTCAAGAAGCAACAGGAGTAGTCTGGTTGTTACTTTAATCAGAAAATAAACTGGATTAAGAATAACTGTCCTCTTCAAATGAATCTGTTTCATCAAATACTCCTTGGATCCTTATACTATTACTTCAAGAATTCCCAAAAGCCACATGTTAGTGACATTCAAAATACTTTGTTTCATGAACATCCAAATGATTCATTTTTTGCCATCTTGATGCTGTGTCATCACTAATTAGTACAGACAAAAAAAATCATAGCACGCCCTGATGCTTTTTCCAAACAAATTTTAAGTCTCCATGTTTTCAACACTCACTGAAGTTAATTCAAATTTATTTTCACCCAGTCAGGAGTCTGTGACCACATTAAAAGGACTGTGGAAAAGATCCAGGAAAGTTCCCAATGCTGTATTCACATCCTGCAACTCACCCCTCCAAACTTACTTGCAAAGGAACTCCCCATCTTTCTGCTTTCCAGAGGTACTTATGGGGTGCCCTTTCTTCATCTCTCTCTCTGATTGCTTTGGGTTGCTTAACAGCTACATCTCCACAGCATAGTATTTTGACATTATTATAGGTAATCCCAAATACCTGGAGTCAAAGAGTTTAAGAGTTATGTAGTGCAATGTGCTTTAATCTTCCTAGGCAAGAAGGGAAAATGAGGGATTTCTTAATTGGACTGAAAATACATACATTTTATCTACATTACAGAAAACAAATGCACATTGTGTGAAAGGAAGAAAGGGAATTATGCACACACAGGGATCTAAAAACTCATGTCCCATGCCCTGCTCCAACTCAAAGCAAGGATTTACAACTTGGATCTCCCACACTTCACAGTGGATGCCAAGCCATGTGATAGAGCTATTCCAGACACCCAAGATAGGCCATGAGCAGAAATTCCATCCTTGCCAGAGTCATGCCTGCAAACTGATCAATTCTGACACAACTTGCAGTCTAACTGGTAAAAGATTAACTGGCTGAATTATCAGAGTCAGGAACTAGGGCAGGGGGAGAGGAGGGGCTTGGAAAGTAAACTCTTGGAGTAAGGCTGCTGCTGAAGGGGAGAAAACTGCCTGCACCACCAGACACTGGTGCAGGCACCCTTAAACCCTGAGGCATCCCAGGCATGGCACCACAGGCAGGCAAGGCTGCATAGGGACAGAGCAGGCACGTGGAATCAGAGCTGGAGAAGCTGGAACGAGGCAGGGAGGACAGTGTGTGCCTGCTGGGAGCCTTGTCCCACTGCAGAGGAGAGGAGACACAGAGGGGACAGCCCAAGCAGGACATGCTCTGAGGTGCAGGTGCTTCAAATCTCCCAGCTGTGAGTGCTGTTCCTAAATGGCACTTCTGCCTGATCAGCAACTGCAGCTAAAAACCAGATTCAGTCTGAAGTACAGCTTATGCATGTGTGTCTGCACTGTGTATGGACTGTGATAACACAGAGTGTTGAAACATTTATAAACAATTCTAAACAAGAGTTCAGTTCCAAACTCAACAGCCTGAAGTCATTCTCATTTAACACAGAATTTATTATGCATTTTAATGGAAAAATATTCAGTCACATTCAACAAGACAAAAAGCCAGCTGCAAGGGCAGCAAGCAGTGAAGAAGACATGCACCAGCAAAGGAGCTGCTGCCAAGCTAATGCCCCTACATGCACTATCCTTCCCCCCACTGCCAGGGAAAGAGAGGTTTTAATTGTTTCTGCAAATGATCCCACTGCTAGCTGCAAGTCATGGGTGTGCAGAAGGAAGAAGGGTGATGGATCAAACAGCAGCTCTGAGGATGTGAACTGTAACATACAGCAAGATCACTGACTGCCAGAAAAAAAACCTACTCACTGACTATTGGTTGTAGTTATTAATGGCAGAGGAATGATATGCTAAACAGTCACTCCATGGTTTGGGATTTTTTTCCTAAAGTGAGGCTCTTCTTTGCGCTTAAACATGAAACTAAGAGCAGAGTTGTGAAAACAGAATATAGAAGACTGCACTTTATTTGGAGGCAGTTACCAAGCAAATACCTGGCCCCCAGTCCAACATCCCCCACCCATTTAAAATAAACAATGAAGTTCAGCATCTCTGATTTAATGGGACTAGTATTTTTTAGAAATAGCTGATATGTAATGTCATTAGTATGAGGAAAACATAACATGCATCCTTTCGTTTTGGCACAAGCTACAATAACATTTTCAGCCAAAAATTAGTAAACAACATTTTTTTCTTCTGCTATCTCTAGGAAAAAAAAAATACTAACAGCCTAATTCTGTAGCTGGGCAACCCTTCCCTGCAGTTCTTGCATTGTTGTGTTTGAGCTGTGTTCTCATTGCTCTAACACTGGTTTGCCATAGCATCCATTTCTGTACAGTTGGGTTGTACTGACAAGCTCCTGCAGCAAAATAATTCCCAAGTGAAGGAGTTATGTACTCACAGCTTCAGCTCACATGCAGGCATCTACCTCCCAGAACTACCTACACACTCAGGCAGTGAACGTCCAATTTTTTTAGCCAAAGTCACCAAAATTACAGAACCCACTTAATAAACTGCACAAAAACATATCAGCAACTCCAGAAGTAAAAAACTATTGCAATCATGTTTTGTAAGAACTTTGTAGAGAACAAAATCTAAGGAAAAAACAGCAAAAGGAGTGAATTTAATTGGCTTTGTTAAAAGAACCAGTAAGCAGGAATTACTTTCCTTTTTAGTAAAGGTTATATTCAAATTTACCTTAGTGGCTTCAGGAAGACTTTGTCAGAACCATCTTTCAGCTGGTTGCTAAATATTTGTCAAAGGATTCTTTGTTTCACCTTCATTTACAGTTGCTGTTCTTAATTCATGTGACCACATGTCAAAAGTCAAATGTGGCTGCATCCACAGAAGTGAGCTTCATAAAAAAACATGTATTTGTTTGGTTTTGCATTTAACACTGCACTCTATCATCAATCCACACAGGCAGAAAAATACAATGCTGCTCCTAAGTGAGCCACAGATATGCACACTTTAACCAGAGTGCCCCACAGGCCCCATGGTAGCTGCATTCAGCTGATCATTTACTGCCAACAGCTGTGCCAACACACAAACTCCACTTGCAGGGATGGCTTTGCCATAGGAATACCCATCTGCAATCACAAGCATCAAGATCAACCAATTAATTTCATGGATGATAACTAAGAGGTACCAGAGGGTAAAATGGTTCAGCCCAAATCAAACTGGACTGAATGTAAGCAAATACAAATCAAAGAGAAGACCTCAAAAAGCCTATAATGGCCTTAAAAATTTAGGTTTTTAATTCAAACTCAAAATGGAATGGAGATGAAGAGCTGGAAGAAGAGAATATACCCTGAAGCCTCCAGTCATGTCTCTATGTTGTGTAGGGAAATGAAATGTTAAAGACAAAACATCATATAGAAAAGAAAGTAAAAAAGAGGCAGATGAGAGTAACTCGTGACTTGAAAGAAAACCTGCATCAACTCTCCACAAATAAATACAGGGGGAGAGGAAGAAGAAAGCCACAAGAGATAAGGACCAGTATCTACTTCTTGTACAGTGGTGTCAGCTCATTCCTCTCATGGAGTGAGGTCATCTGCAGCTTCAATTCCAGGAACAAGGCGATGGAAATGGAAAAGCACAGTTAGGTCATTATTGAATCCCAGACTGGTTTGGGTTGGAAGGGGCCTTAAAGCTCATCTTATTCCAACCCCCTGCCATGGCAGGGACACCTTCCACTATCCCAGGTTGCTCCAAGCCCCTCCTGGCCTTGGACATTTTCAGGGATAGGGCAGCCACAGCTTCTCTGGGTAACCTGTGCCACAGCCTCAGCACCCTCACAGGGAAGAATTTCTTCCCATCTCACCCTGACCTCTGTCAGGGTGAAACCATTCCCCTTTGTCCTGTCACTCCAGACCTTTGTCCAAAGTCCCTCTCCAGCTGCCTTGTAAGTCACCTTCGTCCTTTCCCCCTTCTCCTTCCTCTTCATCACTTCAACCAATTCACAGTAAATTTGCAAGTCATATTCTTTAGAAATATTTTTAATTGCTTAGATAAAAATTATTCAAGCCACAGAAATTCCACTTCTTTCTTTGAGAGACACCCTAATCACTCACAATTTACCAGCACTGCTGGTCAGACCCATGTCAGACCCTTCCTCACAGAGATCAGGTTTGCAAACACTTGTTGTTAGCAGAACCCAGGGCAAAACATGAGACAAGAATTTCTGCTAAAGTGGCCTTCCAGACCCAAGTCAGCACCATGGAAAGGGAGAGGGAGGATTTGGTAACAATGTACACACAATTAACTTCTCAGTGTAAGCACTGACCAACCATCATTTAGTATCAATACTTAAAATAACTTCCTTCCAAAAGTGCACCTAAGTAATCTCCTAAATGTATCTTTTATTTATCTTTATTATTTAACTTCTATTTTATTATTTCACTTCAGACATAAAGGAGTACTCTTTCCCACTCCACTCTCTCTGCAAAACCCATATGAATGCAAGCAGCTGTGGAACGTGCACAGCTCCAATCCCAAGCAAAGATGTACAGAGGGAAATCAGCAAAAACATTTACCAGCAGAAACATTAAATTCCTGGGGAGTTCAAAATAAGGTCCAGAGAATTCAAAGCAAAAATCAACAGTGATTCTTCATATATTAGGGTGTGCAAGCTGACCTGGAGCATGACTAGGCAAAGTGTCTGGCTGTGGGTTTTGTTCTGCCTTGTTTTCTTTACAAACATCCCAGTGTTGAATGTGCTGCAGCCATGTCAGGTCTTCTGATCAAGAACTTTCCAGAAACATGATGCCAACCAAAGGAACAAAGGCTCAAAGTAGCTTCTGGATACACCTTGGTTTAGCCAGTTTTGATTATGGTCAGACATAGGAGAATGTGCCCAACCCACTGTTTTTGTTTTAACTTCCTGGGATGCTGTCAGGTATATTCCTCCTCAGGGAGGAATACTGAGAAAGGAATAAAGTAGGAAAGGGGGAAAAACCCCATCTCACTGCACTCAATAGTCAGGAAAGCTGGAGAGATCAAAGCCATGATCACAGCCAGGCACAGTGTGGGGAACACTGTGAGACTTAGCCAGGCAGTGACCAGGTCAAACCAGGTAAAGTGCACTCATTTTCTGAACACCAGATAGCATAATTAAGTAGAAGCATAATGGGATTTTCAATTTTAACACTGCAAAGCCCTAAGATAGTTGAAAAGGATAGAATAAAATGAAAATGTGTCTTTCTACCTGCTAATCGTGCAATTCTCCCATGGGATTTGAAAACTAAGCTTCCTTTTTACCAGCTTGTGCATTATCAGTAGCTTAAGAGATAATCCTTTAGTCAGAATATAAAGTATATTTTCCCTGTGGTGTGTGAGCTAGACCAAAATCTCATTCTGCCATTGAGAAATACACTAATCACAGAAAATTAAAATAATACAACTCGAAAAATAGGAACACATTAAATACCATTCTGTAAGCATTTTTCCTTACCATACCTGTAATACCTGTGTTACAGTTTATGATATATAAAATATTAGTAACAAAGAATCTGAAGAGACTTCAGTAATTTACATTTGTAGCATAGCTCAAGACAGCCCACTGAGAAACATCAGATATGCAAACTGCTGTTGTAGGTTTCATCTGAACAACCTGACATTCAAAGTTATTGTAAGATTTGCCTTCCTTGGCTAAAAGTGAGGACACTTGCATTGCATGAGGCTGAGTTTGAGCTGTCAGAAGCCAAAGTGACCCTTTGCTGACAGCCCTGATGTCAGGTAAACCATGAATGCATTACTGCACCTGGCACTGAAAATAAACCCTCCCTCTGCACCTAATTCTTTTCCCCCTCCTGCTTTGCAAGGAATACAGAAGCAGTAAAAGCACTCAATCCCTCACCCCTCCAGAGCTGAAAGGTTTAACCACATCTCAGCAGATTACAGCCCACTGCAGGATAACTGCTCCTGCTCCTGAGCAGCTGAGGTGCTGCTGTGGGTGCTGAGGTGCCCGAGCTAAGCAGGACAAGCTTAAGCAGTTTAATGGTGAGTCATGCCCAGAGCACTCAGGAATTGTGAGTGGGCAGCTCAGCAGGCAGACACTGAGGTGAAAAACCCTCTCTTAAGGACAATAATCTCCTTAGCTGGTGTGTCAGGAGCTGAAAAGGGACATGCGAACAAGCCCTGTTCTGTACCACCCTTCTGCCAGGAAATCCCTGCTGCTGGCTGGCACCTGAGGTCAGGAGAATCCTGTGTCCCACCCACGGTTCATGGAGGGAACAAGCCCTGCAATGCTCTGCTCTTTACACCACAGCAATCATGCACAGGGCTTTGAGGTCACAGCAGGCTCACACCTCCACGTGACCACATTTGGTCACCCCATAATTCTGGATTTCCTGAGCAGTCAGGTACTGATATCCCAGACCTTGCAATATAAAAATGCTTTAAATGCAAAGGATTAATTTAATGTTTTTACAGCTTACATTTTATTATTTATAAAATGACTGATGTATGATACTCATAGCTCAAGAAGGGAAGAACTAGTAGATGGATATTCATATTTCATTATCAACATTCATTACCCTCTGTTATCATTAATCTGTCAGTACCTGCTTCTACCAGTTAATTCCTTAGACTTTCCCCAGTCTGCACCTTGTTACAATCTAATGTCTCATGTCTGTAAGGACAGGAGAATTTGGCTGCTTGAAACTGGCAGCAAGTAATTTACATTTGGGCTTTGTTAAAATGACAGTGAGCATCATTGAGGCCAAATGTAAAAAGCCAGACTGGAGGAGGTTATAAAAAATTCAAGTGGCAAGTGTCTCTCCTTTTATCTGACAGTTGTTATTAAGAGGCCATACTTCATTGTAACACACCAAAGTTAAACACAGGAGACAGAGGTAGAGGTCCACATTACACACAGGGCACCTTCCCTCTACACATGGTTTATTCCTACTGATGGGACAGAACTGAACTGAAGCTGGAAGTAGAGAATTCCTTTACCAGCAACCAAGGCCATCACACCCTGAAATGCTGGATGCCTCAAAGGCACTCCTCTGGCCCTCCAGGCTCCAGCTGGAGTAGGAAACACATCTCCATAACTAAATCCTGGGATACTTCATTTATTATCTGAACCTCTATTTGTATGTATATCTAATCTTAGATAAGGAAGGCATATGGAATGTTTATCTCAGGGAACACTCCACTTCAATAAAATCAAACATATTTCTACAAAATTGAGAGGAAGAAAGAACCTTAAAAGGTTTAAATCACAACTTTAGCCTGACCTTACTCTGCACACACCTTGGCGTTCAACCCTAAGACTGAAGGCTTTTGTTTTAGAAATTTCATTCTCAGGAATTAACAAGGGCACTAATCACTAGTAAAAATGCACCAGAGTGTTAAATGTACTCACTTCCTTTATCCAGAGCAATTTAGGAGGCTGCATTTCCACAGACATGGCTCCCCCTACATAGCTCAGAACCCTGTGCTGGGTGGCATTGATGCGCTTGACTTGGCTCACTGCACGATGGTCCATCCACATGATCACATTCCTCTGGTTCTGTCCTTGGGGGAAAACAGGAAAAGAGTTCTTTTAGCCCTGCTTTAACCCCAGCTCAGCACTCTAAGTTACTAGGCTCTAAACTGCTTCACACTTTCACTTCTACACTGGAAACTCAAATTCTGTTTGGGTTAATAATTCACAGTGGATTTCTAAATATAAAATTTTAGCCCTCTGACCCAACTTTAGCACATGCTGAACACTGAGAATGCTGACTGAAACCAGTCAGGCTTGTGAGCATCCAAGAACTGTGAAACACCATGTTCTCTTGTATTTCATTCAAAGAACCCAAACTTCCTGACAAAGTTCACATATTTAGTTAAAAATACAAAGGAACATTCTCCAAAAACTAAAAATATTACAAAATCTGAACAATTATGTTGTGAACTGAAATTACCTCAATCAGCTACAGGGATTCTCTCTCCTCTTCTATGGTTATGAGAAGAACCACCCTAATTCCTTTCTGAAATACTGTTTCAAGGGGGAGAATTTGCTGAAATGCTTTTATTTTGGATGTGCAAGGAAAAAGCATTTGGCAAGTCTGCAGCACACACAAATGAGAACAAGAAGCAAAGAACATTTTATCCAAATTAACCTCCAGAGGACCTGGCAGAGAGGGGGAACAGTAATCCAGGTGACACTGCAGATTCCTCTCTGGCTGAGTACACTGCACACTCCAAGGCATAGCCACTCAAGCTTCATCTTGAAAACATAGTGCAAAACAAGGCAGAAGTGTGAGGTCCATCAATATTTCTAAAATGGATTGAAATACGAGTACACTGCACACTCCAAGGCATAGCCACTCAAGCTTCATCTTGAAAACAGTGCAAAACAAGGCAGAAGTGTGAGGTGCATCAATATTTCTAAAATGGATTGAAATAGAGCTTAGAACTGTGAAACTGCCTGAAATACCACCACTGCAAGGCTCTTCACAGCATTACAATATTGAGTGAATTCTTGTCTTGTTGTTTAGCACCACCACTGTGTAAACTCAAAGTTCTCAGGGATATCAGAGCACAGAAAATGAGAACTGAATTTGACTCATTAGACCCAAAATAGCCTCAGACATCATTAGGCATTGAACAGATCGTAAGAGACTCTCAAACTGAAAAATAAATAATCTGATCTAAATTTAGAAAAGGACATTTTGGGGGCAAAGCTAGGTTTTGAGAAGGATAGAAGGAGATGACAAACACATCTGAGAACAGAAAGGGAACATACACAGAATTATGATTATGTCTCTGTAACTACTGATATAGCACACACTTAATATTAAGAGGGATTCACTGGGTAAAAGAAGTGCAGAACAGACTTTTTGTGAGTCTTCTGAATCATCTACCCAAAAACTAATAAAACCCCCAGATTTTTAGAAAAAGGTCACAGACTGTTTCTGAAGCTCAGCACTGTCCTAGACAAAGACAGAACACCAGTGTAATAAAATACACAAACTGAACTTCTTGCCTGCAGCTCCATGACAGAGCAAGCAGTTAGACTACACTAACACTAACATTTCTAACATTCCTTTAGCCAGTGTGGATGGGCATTTATACACACTATAAAAGCCATGATCAGTACAGTCTGAAGGAGAAGAAAACACGCTGAAAAGACAAATGAGTGTACATTTCCCTAAGAAGAAATTTCTCAGAGCCAAGATGAATGAATGTGATCTTAAGATGCCAAATATTTAACCAAAGAATAAGTAATTCTCAGATTTAATTTAATTCTTCAATAAAATTAAAACAGTAAAACCAGGGAAAAAATCCTCTTATAAAAAAGAGTCTGGGTCATCTCCATCTCCAAGAGTCAGCCCCACCACTTGGTATTTGGAGGACATGGGAAGTTCCCTCCCAGCAGAGCTAAAACTCACACAGTAACACCATGTTTTGTGTGCAGCCCTACCTTCAGAGTTGACTGCCAAAGGCTGGAAGTGTTTATCCACCACAACAAGGGAACAGGTAGCATCAAACCCAAGCCCTCGGATCTGGCTGGCATCCACTCCACGGACAACTTCCTGAAAATGCACAAAACACACAGGAATACAGATATGTCCATGCATGTGCAAGTGCCATGTGAACTAGACAGTACCAAAAAAAAAAAAAGAGCTACAAGTTAGCTCAAATGCTGAAATTTCCTAAATTCAATGTTCTTTAAGACTTCCAATATAAACACATGAAATTACCAGAAATTCTTTGTGTTTCAAATCTGAATTCAGAGCTCTTTATCCACAGTCCTGGATAAAAGCAGGGAGCACAAAAACATCAGTAAATAAAGGTAGCAGAAAACCTGCAATGTTAATTTTCTCTCTTGTCTAAAGGTTGGAGCTGAGCTGGATGTGAAACATGGACCAGGAGTAGGACCAAGTGTTTCCATCAGTTACTTCACTGACCTCCTGCCCATGGAAGCAACAATCTTCCAGAACTGCTTTGGTAATACTGTGTTTTTCTGGCAATACTGAAGGGTTCCAAACCTAAAGTTGGTCAAAACCTGTAGCCATGATAACACCTCTGCAATGCACACCTTTACTCAGCTACCAAGAGTGTGAATACCACACTTTTTGGAAGGTTTTCAAAAATAAAAAAAACCCAAACCATTGCCCCAAAATGCCTGAACTTCATGGCTTCCAGCAGCACTGGAAAAGAAAACACAACACCCACAAGAATTAAGTGCCAAATGAGGTTGCAAGACACCTAAAATGTAGCACGGTAATAAATTGCCACTTCTCAGCAACAATAAAAATATCATTATTTTAATTAGTACTATAAGGAAAGACTTTCAGTAGATTTGCACAGTGCCAGTCTCTTATTGGCTCTGTAAAACTGCAGTTTCTGAGACCATTTTATTGCTTAAATATAAGAGACTGCATTTAAAGAGGTCAAGAGCAAGAACAAAGCCACTCAGACAGAGAAAAATCAAATAAGCAGAGGAAGACTTGCTCTGCTTTAATGTCAAGCTGTTCTTCCCTATCATTCCTGTCACTCCCTTCTTTTCCTTCTATCCACTCACCTCCTCTTCCCCATCTCAGGGCATTTCTGCAGAGCCAAGCTCATTAATGTTTGAAAAGGCTGATCAATAACAAGACAATGGGTGAACAGTCCATCTGCAAATTACCAAGCGTATCATGAATATTTAAAAAGCCAACCTCAGAACATGCAGCAGGCAAGGGCTGTAGTGAGGAGGATGAAATGGCCTCTGTGTGCACTGCAAGCAAGGTCTCTAATTTACCTTTATCTCCAGCATGTACAGGCAGAGCCTGGATCAGAGGGTACAAATTTTCCACTGTAGTAAAGTCTATTTCAATCTGGTTTTATGCCTCATACTATCCACAGACATTTATTATTTATTTTGATCTTATAATACTGGATCCTCTTATAATGAGGATAACAAGTGTTACTTTAGGGGCCATCCAAAATCCAGATTACAATTTCTCTACAATAAATCCTCCTTTGTGACTCCAGAGCAGCCCAATGCACATCTCTAGATATATGCACTGCCAGGTTTTGAGCAACCTTGACTCCTCCAAGAACTGTCTCGTGGGTAGAACATACACCAGCTAAACAAAGCTCACAGATGTGAGACCTGGAGGCAGTGGCTAAATCCTCCCCCTGCAATAACAGCACAAAGGTCTTTCATCCTATTTGCAGCTGTAGCATGAGGTTTTTTTCACTCTGGCCTTCAACTCCTCACCAGTAAAACAGACATTTGTGAGGCTGCATCAGCCTCAAGGTGCTTTGAATGCACAAGGATGGTCACAAGTTACTCAGCATGAATAGACCCAAGTGGAAATGACAGGCACGGGGACTGCAGGGCCATGAACGTTCAAAACTTGCAGAGCCACCTGCAACACAAATCCTTCATCTTGTCCTTGCCCACCTTTGTGACACAGCAGCAGGCAGCCCAGATGTCTGCAGAGGATTGCTCATAGTGGTCTGGCTGGGGCTCCCAAACTTGGATGGGCTGTTCTGCGTGTGCCACCACCGTCCCAAAGCCGTCCACCAGCGCCGCGCGAACGCTGGCTGAGCCCACGTCAACTCCAACATAGTATTTCACTGCAGTCTGCTTCTCACTGGGCATTTTTAATACAACCTGTTGAAGGAAAAGGGGAAAAAAGGGGTTAAAAGCAGATAAAAAGACTGATGGAAAAAGTGCCAAGAGCTGCTGCCTCACATCAAGCGAAACTTCCCACCTGTGCTGTGATGCTGGTAATTATAAAGTAACTACATGACAATCAGCTACATGTTACCCAGAGGAAAAAAAGAATAAATAAAGTCTCCAAGAGCTCTCCACCATCAATTCACACCACTTTTAAGACTCAGAAAATAATTTTCTGAAAATGTGTTGAGCCATGAGAGCATGGTGTGAAAACTCTGCCTACTCTGACATCCCACAAGAACAAAGTGAGGTTAAGTTAATTGATTTAATTATTCACAACGAGTTGCTTATTTCACTATATTAAGTTTAACTATTTGACATTTAATACAGTGACAAATTCACTGTTCTTAATTTCTCACGGTTTGTTCTTAATTAATAGTTAACATTTACATTTTAATCAAGCTGTGAGAATGCTAAGTAAGAGCTGATAGAAATATTTGAAACATCAGACAAGTACCATGTTCAGTGCTTGTATGAACCTTTCACATCTCTGAAACACGTGAAACTCAGCTGACACACAGCTTCTGATTTTCAGAAAATGAATGGATAAATTGGCATTTAAAACACATGGTATTTACAGAGCATCAAAATGGCTCTACTTTAAAACAGCCCACTTCTAAAGATGTGACCTGCTAATATCTGGATATGGAAGATAGGGTGGTTTAAGGGAGGAATATAAGCAAAGGGGGAAAGATTTGCAAAGTCCTGATTAACAGAATATGATTATTCACATTTCATTTTTTTTTTTAATAATAACATTGAGTACAGGTCAAGATCTACTGGCATAATGTAGTGTCTTTCACATCCATGGCTGGCTTGTAACCACTGCTGCTGATAGATACCACAAATCTACAGTCATTGAGGGTTAGAGGCAGCAGGTGAAATAGAGAAGAAAACAAGAAGCCCCCTATTTCAAAAAACTCCAATTTTGCATAATAATGAATTAGAACAAAGTTTCATCTGCACTGAAAATGGTATAAAACAACACCTTGGCTGAAGAAACCAACTGAGGCTTCCCTTCCTCACACCCCTTAAACAGCTCATGGAAATGTGGTCAGTCAGTGGAGATCTGTGCTCACACAATCATTCTTCCCTGCTTCAATCTAGCACTTCATGCCCAAACCCCACTGATGGGTCCAGGGTCCATGGTTTTGTTCTTTGCTTGGCCAGCAGGAGGGAGCTCTGTCCCTGGTACAGACCAAAGCAGTGACCACACCACATTCTGCTCACACCCTGCAGGGTCACCGGAGTAGCTGCACAGATCACCAGCTTGTAATAATGTCAGAAAGTAGAAAAAAACCTCCAAGCTATAGAGCATATTGTGGTCCTGCTGGAAATCCTGGCTGCTGCCTCCCAGCATGCTGGCTCTGCCCAGCAGATTAGGTGCAACACACACTAATCTCCTTAAGCAAGGTCATGTGTCCAAGCGATGAGCAATCAGCTAAAAATAATGGTGTGCCATGAGTCTAACACCTAGGAATATTGGCAAGAAGGCCTGCTTTATTTTCTTGGCCCTGGCTCTGTGACCTGGTCAGAGGAACAAAAGCCAACCCCTCTGCCAGAGAAGACAACTCTGCTGCTATGGGTGATTAATACTGCATCTGTCACCTGGGGGGTGACAGCACTCAGCTTCTCCCTCTTAGCTCTCAGCTGGAAGAGCAGTTTTAAGACATTCTTTTCAACATGGTATTTACTTCTTAATTTTGCACTGCACCTCCCCAAAGCTCCAAAGGCTGGCTGCAGGTGCTGCAAGTTCCTTGTGAGAAATTTTACTACAAAGACATTGCATAATACTGTTCCTGATACTATCTCACAAATTTCCCTGTTTTTTCCCTATTTCGGCTCTGCCTTTAGCTGCTGACTCATAAAAAGTTGAGAATAAACCACAAGCTGCAAAACAGATTCTTTTTTTTAAACATAGGCAAATCCTTCTTACTTGCTCTTCACCAAATACAAATAGCAAAAGGAGTATTTTATATCCTGCCTCTTGCTCACACACACAATATTACTCCAAATTTCTCTTCCTTGTATGGCAGCCTTGATTTTAGCTCATTAATGTGTTTTTGCTACTTAGAGAACAAGCTTAGCAGATGTTAGAGAATTAAGCTCACAGTACCTCCTACTCAGCACTTGAAATTATGGCTTTGCATTGGATTCTTCCCACAAACATTTGAAACCTGGAACCCAATCTGCCCATGTAATGTTTACTTTCCTTTTTTTTCCTTACTAAGCAACCAGGATGTGCCTGTGTGAGTGACTGGGCAGGAAGCAGAGTTTGTTTATGTGCTTGAGCAGTGCATATCAGCCTTTGCACATCCACCAGTTTATTGCTGTCAATCAGTGGGAACAGGAAAGAGTTAAGTGACAGTACAAAACCAAGGAGCCCAAACTTACTCTAACTGGTCTTTTTCTGAATAAAGCTCACCTAGATTCACAAAGCAGCAAGATTCACTCAATATCACATTTTAAAAAAAAGGCTAAAAGTAAATATTAATCCTTTTTCAAGAACAGCAAGCACTAAGTAACAGAGGCTGTTCAAAGTAAAGTGTCTGCAACAGGATCTGATCTGCTTGCAAAAACATAATTTGATGCCAAGGGTTTTTTTGGAATACCAAACACTTGGTATGCCACCTACTTATCAACCCCATCCACAAAAAGCACTGTCATCTCTAGGTCATAAATGTCAGCAATTATGGACTCTGCCCAAGGGTATTTCTTGAGAACCTAAGAACTCACCAGAGAAGTTGGTGGAAAATATTTAGCCAAAGTACAGTGATAAGAATTTAAAAAAGGAATGTTGTCATTCTGTTGTGTTTCCAGAAGATTTCTTTGGTACAAAAGGAAGTTCCAAATCAGAGCTGAAGGAACTCTTTAATGGAGTTCAGGGGTAGCAGAAGGTCCCTGCACAAGCTTGTTGCTTTGGAATTTGGACACCAACATTAATTGTCATGTGAAAAGAAAAGTACTGTGCAAATAAAACATTGGTTTGGATTTTTTTACCTGCTGGATTCTATATTTCTGCAGGCAATACAATCATGAGGAAAAACAAACCAGAAAAATAACTGAAATACAATGTCCTAAAAGTCCAGTCAGACAGGTCAGTTCATCAAGCACAATATTCCTAACATGACACCAAAATATTTTATGCATGGATGATGCACGTTCATGGACTTCCAAGGGGTGGAAGGCAGTGGAGATAGGACCTTCTAAATCCCTGAAGAATCTAAACTCAGGAAGCCTGGCTCCTTGCAGCCAAGAAAAAAGGCCTCCAGAACTTCAATACAGCCTTGTCTATCCACTGCAGAATTCAAGCCTCATATTTTCAACTTATTATTTGAATTTGCAAACAGAAGGAGAGGGGCAGAGGAAAAAAGTAAACTTAAAAGACATGTCCAGCTTGACCGTGTTAATCCATGTCTGTAACTGCTAAATCAGGACAAGAAGCCAAAATTCCCTCTAAGCACTAAACCAGCAACGGCCTCTTTCTCTGCAAATCACAGCAGGGACAGAATGGCTTTTCAAACAAGCATTTATGATCAAAAGGCTACAGCATATTATAAATATTTATATGAACCATTAAATAATAGTCTGTATAAATATTATTCAAAATGTGCATGCTGGAAACCACAGACTTCCCAGTTTATCCTTGTACAAATGTGTTAGTTTTCCCACATAAGCAATGAAGAAAGAAAAAGGAGGGGTGAAACTCAGTTGCAAAAATACTAAGTATAAAAAAAAAGACAGAAAATCCTTAACATTATTTACTTTAATTTAAAAGGAATGAGTAAGTAACCAGATGAGTTTTTCATGAGCACTGTTAGACTTGTCTGTCCCACTTTACCTCACAGTTATCGAGCTGCCAGGACGTACCTTTCTGTTAAAGCCAGGGTGCAGGAGGGGCTGCACTCACATCAGCATAGGCCCAAGCTCAGCACAAGCTTTCAGCAGCAGCAATTTAGACTTCGTGGTGCTGTGTGCTTAAACACAAAGAATTAGGAAGGGCTGGCATGTCTGTTTTAAACTTTGATCTTTGGAACGCTGCGGGCTGCCCAGACCCAGTGATTGTGGATACACAGTGTGTTTTTAGTAGTGCAGCTGTGCTTTTCTATGGGTTACCAAGAAAAAGATTAACAGGCTCAAATGAGGCTTCATAAGCTTTGTGTGAAAAGATCTAAATATGCTAAAGAAAAGCTGCTTTTCAATTGAAAAAAGGACATTAACCAAAACAAGTCCTTTTGACATTACACTGGAAATTCAGCACTTTGTTGGCTTGCTAGAGGTAAGTAACCAATACAAGTGGTGGTGGTAGAGTGGCAGGATCTCCTTGAAGACAGTGAACTCCCTTTGCTCTTCCAGCTTCTGTAATTCCTGTTTGGATGTGGAAAGAGAAAGAAGGCACATGTCTGTGTGGGAGAGCAGGAGCAGATGGGGAATTCTAACACTGTGGTGAAGGGCAGTACTAATATAGAAAATATCCTTAAATGCCCAAGGGACTGTGCTATAACTATCAACAAGCATTTATTTGTCAGCTACCCCACAGCAAACAAAACAAACACAGGGAACAAAAGCACACGTCACCTCCCCTTTTCCCTTCCCCAAACAGAAACACCTACATGCAGGATCTCCGTCTTAGGAATGTGAGGACTGTGCTAACAGTAAGAAAACTGGAATAAATAAAATTGGAGCTGGGGAAAATATGCTTCTTCATTGAAAACCAAACACGTCTAGATTCTTTCATCAGTTCTCTGGTAAATTCTGTGAAGTTTTCTTACATCTTACAAGGCAAAACAGCTTGAAATAATGGAAGATTTCAGTAGTAAGATTCAACCCTGACTCTGGTCCTATAATATTTAGATTGTTCCATCAAAACCTTCCTGTCTCCCTAACATTGCAATGCAATGTCAATAAACCCCAGCATAGGCAGGACTGATAAT